AAAATGGCCATTTGTATGTTTACTGAGTGGGAAAGTAACAGCGGCAAATGGGGCTGAAAAACCACACCAGAATGTTATGGTTTTTTGGGCCAAGAATGTTAATTTTTTTTCATGAGATCCTTTGGTCTTTCAAATAAGACCGAATAATGGCCTAGTGGCAAAGAATCATTTAGTAAGCTGAGTGCAAGCAAACAGCATGTTTTTTAATATGGCCAAATGTAAAGGTGTACATTTAGGGACAAAGAATGAGGGCTGTACAATCAGATGAACTTGAGCTCCTACTGTGACGCTGTCGCCAAAAGGGCTAATGTGATCCTCAAATGTATAATGAGGGAAATCTTGAGCAGGAAATTCATATTACCTCAGTTTGGCATTAGTGTGACCACAAATGGAACATTCTGGTGTGCATAATTCAAGAAAGATATTGATAAATTCAGAGAAGAGCCATGGGAATGATTAGGAATCTGTCATATAGTGAAAGACTCAAAGAACTTAAATTAACTTTCACTTTGTTAAGTTAAGAAGTGACTTTGATTAGTCTTGAAGTATATTTAATAATGGGCTTTTCAGTGTAGCAGAGAAAGGTATTACACCATCCAGTTGGTGGAAGTTGAAGCTTGGCCTTTTCAGACTGGAAATAAGAAGTAAATTTTTAACAGTAAGAGTAATTAATGATTGAAACAATTGACCAAAGATTGTGGTTGATTCACCATCACTGACAAATTAAAAATCAAGATCTGCTCTAGAAATTATTTTTGGGAAATTCTATGGCCCGTGTTAGAGGTCAGACTAGTTGATGATCCCAATGGCCCCTTCTGATGTTGGACTCTTACGAATCTGTGGCACCACAGAGAGATTCTATCCAAGGCATAATGAAGCAAGATATGCAACCAAATGCTTCTAATGCCCCCGTGATGTGATTATCTCTTGATAATTGAATCCCTGGAATACTCTTACAGCTTCAATAAACAGTTTTTTATTTTAAGAGAAAGGATGGATTTAATTTAATGCTGATTGGCACTTCCAGATAAGAGGTGCAGTTCTCATGAATTATAAAACTACTTTGACTGAAGAAGAATGCTGATAAATGCAACAGGAAAATTAATCTTGATTAACCAACAAGTTCCTGGGCAAAGGAGAGTGGTTGAATTATAGAAAGGAACCTGAAATATCTTCCACAACATTAGTCCAAATAGTCAGCAAGAAGCAACGTGCATGCTAACAGGCTCAAAACAAGTAGTAAACTTCTATTGCAGCGATCAACACAAACATGCCAAATAACAGTGCCAACTTTGTGATAAAATGTCACTTGCAACAGCTTCCTGCCCCTCTGTAAAGTAAGACCAGATTGAATTTATTGAACTCCCTATTGTAGAATCCAGGTAAAGAGAATTTATTAAGAGATTTCAAATTTAAATGTGTTTGTGTATGGTGGGGCTTAAATATAACTCCTTCATTAAATCATTAGAGAGTTTGAGGACAAAGGGAAACTTAGAATCCCATCTACAGGCAGTCCCCGGGTTACATGGATCCGACTTACATCGGATCCCTACTTACAAACGGGGTGAGGCAACCCCACACTAGCTGCTTCCCCCCAGCAGACCAGGGAGACGTGAAGCTAGCGCCCCCCCAACACACCAGGGAGAGCTTGAGAATAAAGGCCTGAGGGAAGTGAGGTGTGGGAGAATAAAACTGAGCTCTGGAGAAATGTTTGGCTAGAGTTTCCCCTACAATATGTACCAGTTCCGACTTACATACAAATTCAACTTAAGAACAAACCTACAGTCCCTATCTTGTACGTAACCCGGGGACTGCCTGTATTTCATTCTCTTCAATATGATTACAGTAGTTTCTGTCTTAATAGTGATCCTGAGGAGGAGTTACGATACCTCCACAACCTGTTTCTTCCATATTCAGTGCCCTCAACATCATGGCCCAATCGTTCAAAACCCCTATGCTGTGAGAGTAGAAAGACTGAACAGGACAGGTTGGGCAGAGCATCACTGCCAGTTCACCCAGTAGGAATATTTACTTCAGGGACCTCTCGCTTTATAGGAATGTGGGTGGAGAGAGCCTCTGGTGGCTAATGTCAACTGCTTCATGAATATAAAGTAGGGATGTAAGCAACTAGTCAAGTCATTACTCGACTACTCGCTCCCCTCCTCCCCCGCTGCTTCTGTATCACAGGCAGAAAGGGCAGGGGAGCAGGAGCTGGTGTGGGGGGGAGGTGGCTTAAAAGCCACTCCCCCTCAACGCCATCTCCACATTTGGGCGGGTGAGGTGTCATAGATGCAGGCAGCTCTTAACTATATTTAAAAGGCAGGTGCAGAGGTCTGGGACTCGGTACAAACCAGGACCTACCCCTTCTGCGGCTTTCAGCGTAAATGTAGTAGGAGCCAGGCTGCCTGCTTGCCCAGCTTCTATTACATTTAAACTGCAGAGTGCAGCGGGAGTAGCTCCTGGACTCCACCTCTCATTATCGATTAATTGTGTAGTCGATACAAATTGTATCAACTATGTGATCAGTCAGTTACCTGCTTCTTAGCATCCTTAATATAAACCATAAATGTTGGCTTCCCCTTCTAATCACACACAGCTGGGGCTTTCAAGGAGACAGTGTTCCAAATTTAGGCTTATTAGGCATATTATCCCACGTAAACCTTGGTGCTCAACAGGAGGTCCACATTTTGTGGTTTTAAGTGTCGAAGGGTTACCTCTGATGGGGGAACATTCTGAGGCCTCCTGGTGGCAGACCAGTGCCAGATTATCAACCTCCGTGCACTTTGTTCTTCATGCTTTTGAAAGAAAAAAATTATTTATCTTAATTATGAAGGTTGTTTTCATCTTATTCTCCAGATCTGCTGTGTTACATTTACTTAACTTCATTGTGTAATCTTTCCAGCTGTATTTGGAGACAGTATTTTGTCCAAGTCGGTCTGTCTAAGGTATTCATATGGCCTCCATTACTAGCTCGTTAAAGCAACTTAGAACCTTTTAGCCTCATAACACCCCTATGGGGTATGGAAGTGCTATTATCATGAGGAAATGAGACAAAGTAAATTGTCCAAAGATCACTCAAGAAGTGTATAACAGATGAAGGCATTACACCTGGCTTGCACCCTACCCTTTGGACCATCATTTCTCCTCTTATCTACTATTGTTGTGCCTCATCTTTATTTGCTATTGTTAAAGATAGTTAGCTGATATTCAGTAGATTCTGCTAAAAATATTTGTGTGTTTAAATTATAGGAACCGAATATTTTAAGCCCAGTACAGGATGGGACCAAAAACCCTCAGATTGACAGCAATAAGAGCAATAATTACAACATTGTTAAGGAGGTTTGTATACCTGTAAATGAGGTAGATTTACAAATTGGTGTTGTGGATTCATATTTGTTGTGATGGCACATGATTTACATTTGAATTTTTTGGGGGGGATTTGTGCTTTTTTTAAATCCAGATTTTGATCAGACTCAGCAAACTCTGCGTTCAAAATAAAAAATGTCGGAATCAGCAGCAGCGATTGCTGAAAAATATGGGAGCTCACTCAGTGGTACTGGATCTTCTGCAGATACCTTATGAAAAGGTTAGACTCCTAATTACTTATTCTAAAGGACATGAAGTCACTAATTGGACAGTCCTAAAAATACCTGATCCAAAGCCTTTTGAAATCACTGGAGAAAGATTCTCACTGACTTCAGGCTTTGGAGCAGACCCAAATCAGGATATCCTAGTTTTCTACTTTGAGAATAATGAAGCTGAGCTGGATTTTTAAGCATGGGTACTGAAATACTGAGGATACAATTGTGAAAACATGAATATGCATTACTTCAGCTACTCAAAATAAAAGTGTCTTCTCATACTTTCAATACAAGAACCTGTACTACTGCAGTCACTTTGGGACAGTAGAGTCTGGTATTGATAAAATGGAAGCCCACAACAGGATGCCCAGATTTGGATGCTTAGAGTGGCACTGTACATACATAAAATAGGCATTGATGTCTCAGGACCAAACCCTTTAATCCTTATGAAGTCTCTCCTCTTGTGAAACTCCAGAGTTTTGGCTCAGAAAGGAGAATGTGGTTTGGCCCCCATACAGTGATCTAACCACCAACATGAGGAATCTGCATGTTCTTTACAGGAGTCCTTGTTTGAAAATTAGGTGCATCCATCTGAATACACACTAAAAAAAAAATCATGAATCCATTTGTGATGTTCATTTATGTTATCCTGAATATGATGCTCTGCCTGTTCAGACTTAGACACTGGGTTCCGTTCTCTTCGGTAAGATAGTTAGCTGTAACATTTGTTCATATAATGGCTCACCACATGCTTGTTAATCAGTTATTCTAAGAATTCAAAAAATAGGTGCCTAAAGCTAGTCATCTAAATTGACATTTAAACACCTAATTGGTCTGATTTTCAAAAGTCAGTGGGAGCTGCGGGATGCACGTCACTTTTGAAAGCCAGGCCACTTCAGAGGAGCCTAAGTATGGAATTAGGACTCTAAATTTAGGCCCTCCTATCAGAAAATCTTGTCCATAGCATTATTACCTTTGATGTACACTATTACGTTATTTAGTGGTAGAGCCAAAATAAAACCACGTCACAAACAGCTTTGGCAAAACAGTAATGCAGCCCTTCAGGCCACACACTAGTGATTCACTGAAGAAGGAGTCATTGATGAGCTCTGGGAAAAAGTGGTTCCAAGTTTTCTTGCTAGGGGGAGAGTGGCCTTCTATTGGAGGAGAATTGGTACATGACTGTGTAACTAATCAGATTATGCAGTGGAGATTTAGCAAATATGTTTTATTTTTCCTTTTTTGGTGCTTTCATCTGTAGACCGACGAAAAGATGAATGAAGTTATGAATCTAGCCCACACTTTCCTTCAGAATTTCTGTCGAGGAAATCCTCAGAATCAAGTTCTCCTCCACAAAAACCTCAATTTGTTTTTAACTCCTGGTGTAAGTGTTTTACTCCTATACATTCAGAACGCTGCCACCAACATCACTTTGACCATGTCACCCCTGTTTTTACATCTCTCCATTTTCTCTCCCTTCTCTGTTGCATCATACATAAGCTATTGGTCTTCATTTGCAAGTCTCTTTATAATCAATCCCCACCCAATCTATTGTCTCTTGTTCAATATCATGCTGTCAATGTTCACTTCTTATCAGTATATAGTGTCACCCTCCATTGCCCAACTTGTTAAATTTTCAAACAAGCACCTTTGAGCTTGCCGTAAACATCCACCTCATTCTCCACCTTCCAAACACACTCCTCCCCCATCTCAAAACAATCCTTTGCTAAGTTTCCTACAAAAGACTTGACAGGGTTATACTGCGAGTGTGCACAAGCTACAGCCTGTCATTGTGACCAGTATGGCCTCATTGTTTTCTTATGCTCCCCTGTGTGTATCAATCTTGTGTTTTATACTCACTTGGGGCAGGGACTGTCTTTTTAAAATTTTGTTTGTAAAGTGCCAGGAATAATAGCATCATGGTCCATGACTGGGGCCCCTGAGTGTTATGATAATTCAAACTTTTATATTTATTTATTTACCTGGTGAATACTATTGGTGTGTCCTCTTTCTTCAGCCAACCTGAAACTTGATCGTTTGGTTGTGCTGCGATGTGGAAACTCTAGTATTAATTCACCTTCTGTCTGTTTTAGTCTCCTCTTTCTATCGATCCCCCAAATTTTGGAATTGCTTTTTTGTTATTAGTGAGCCCTGCATTGTCCAGCAGAGCCGGAATCTTTTCAATTTGCTGATTGCGAAACCTGATGAACAAAACCCACTTTTGTTAGAAATACTAGTAACCATATTAGAGGCACAGAATCTTGACAGACCATAATGATGTCAGCGCATCCCTCTAGAATTAATAATAATAATAATAGGCAATGTTATTATTTTTAAATGTTTTGTATGGATTTCATGCTGGTGAAAGGTGCTGGCTTGAGAGTTCTGGAGACAAAGACCTTGATTCTCAGTTATGCTAAAGTCCCTTTATAGTGCTTTTGCAGAGTATATGTCCTTAAAGTGGGCATGAGTTAGTTTGTGACAACTTTAGGCTTTTTCACATTTTGGAAAAGGAACATCCGTGTACATGCAAAGTGGTCCCTAAAGTTTCTATTTACCCATTGAACTGGCATGTATTGGGGATTCTGCCATGATGCCTTTTGAGTCTTCCTGTACCCTGACTTGGAGACTTCCAATCCCCTCTTCCAGGATCCATTCTCTGGACATCATATAAATTAGCTCTGCCATTCTTATGGGGTTGTTTCTGATTCAAATCTGTTTAGTTGCTTGAAGCTGAAACCATGCGGCACATCTTTATGAACAATTACCATCTGTGCAATGAAATCAGCGAGAGAGCAGTGCAGCACTTCGTACACTGTATAGAGACACATGGCCGACACGTGGAGTACCTGCGTTTTCTGCAGACAATTGTAAAAGCAGATGGCAAATATGTGAAGAAATGCCAGGATATGGTAATGACAGAGGTGCGTTAACTATTCATATTATATCTGCTTAACACACACACTAATATTCTGAGGTGCCTTTACTCTGCTGATAATGCCAATGAAACATGCTGGCATCATAGTTTTAAAATTGTAAATGTTGCTACGAATAATGAATATTTTAGCATACATATTTTTGAGTTAAAACTAATTTAGGAAGGCCATCTGTATAAGTACTAGCAGTAAAATGAAAAAACTGTGTTGATGGTATGCAGAATTCTAATTCTGGGACTTGCAACAGAGAAATGGTTGAATTCCATACTCGGACTTTTGTTCTCCTGTGCTGTATCCCCTCCATCCATCCAAATGTACCATTTTGTGACACTGTATTATAACAAAATATGTTTCTGCTTACAAAGATCCACAAAACAACGGTATCACAGTTTGGATTAAACTGCATTATAGTCCGAAAGGCCAGCTTCTGATCTCAATTCCATTGGTGTAATTCTGGAGCCGCTCTGCTGAAGTCAGTGGAGTTACTGTGGAGTTATCCAGAGTAATAGAGTTCAGAATTTAGCCTGGTAAATTTCACTGCATAGACTAGCTCTCTTGGGGCCAAAATCCTTATACCATTGAAGTTAGTGGCAAAACAACAATTTGGCTTCTCTAAAAAGTACAATTTGGTGCACACAGGGACTTGTCCCTGTATGTCTGCCCAGTGCTGCACACACTTATTCATGCATGTAAATGTAATTATGTGAATGGTCCTATTAATTTGAATGTGTCTATGCATGTGAGTAAAATGAAATCTGATCTTATGTGTTGGTAAGATCAGGGCCCAAGGATTATTTTCATTCCTTTGCCATTTTTTTTTCTTTTTGCGAAAAGAATCTTGAGGGAGAAAACACAGATGAGCAATAGTCATGATTTAAGCACAGTTGAGATGTGCAGAAAATTCTCTTTACAGAAATAAGAAAACCTTCTAATTAAGAAGGTTCCCGGCCCTGTTGCCTGACTAGAGTGCTGGACAGAGAGTGCAGGAAGAAGAGTGGGGAGGGGGCCCCTGCTTGCTTTGGCCCAGGGCCTTAAAAAAACCTATTCCAGGTGCACCAAATTGTGCTTTCCAGAGAAGCAAAATTGTTTCCCACTAATTTCAATGGCATAAGGATTTGGCCCAAAGATAAATAGTCTACGCAGTGAAATTTACCAGGCCAAATTCTGCCATGGATAACCTTTAATGAATTCCTTTTCAGCTTTTTCAATTTGACTGAAGAATTTTAGCATGTAAAAATCAATTGGAAGCCTTAGATTTATGTAATTGAAACAATTCTTATGCATTAGTGCTTTTAGGTTCCCTTCCTTCCTGCACTCAATAGAATGTAGATTTTGAGGTTCTTATCATACAAGGGGGTTCTTTCTTTTCTTTTTTTTTTTCAATTGAAATGCATTTTGTTAGTGAAGAGATAAATTGTCGTACAGTATGTTCAGACTGATTGCATGGTGAAAAGCACTTAGGTGTGACATTTGGATCTTAAGTCCTTCAGGAATTAGTAAGAAAGAAACTATTTGGAGAGGGGTAGAAAGATAGCCATTGTGATTTGAGGCAAATGACTTAGCTTCCTATGCTTTAGTTGCCCCTCTGTAAAATGTATGTAATGACATTTATCCAGCTCAAAGACTCCTGAGAGATTACTGTTAGGGAAGCACTTGAATGTTCTTGCATGAAAGAATGCCATGTCAGCGCAAACATTATTACAAAAGAAAATAGGACTTACTTGGAGCCCTTTGACCCAATCAGAGGAACAACAGAGCTTTCAGGTGTGCCTTGTGTTCCAGAATGGTGTGCCTTACAGATTGTCAACAGCTAATCCAAAACTGATCATCTTTGATCATATTTACTTAGTTTTCTCAACTGCTTAGTAGTGACTTATATTGGACAAAATGCTGCAGTCCTTTCTCCATCAAAACTATCAGTGGGAATTTTTTGTGCTCTTATGCTGGAGGCTTCTTGGAGTTGCTTTAGCAAAGACATTCAAATATATAATTTTATGCTTGGATCAATGTTTGTTTCTCCTTGCAGGTCACCTTTAAAGTGGAGGGGAAATAGGAGGGGGTAACTTGGAAAAGAAGATACTTTCTGCTTCCATTACCTTTATGATGTTCATTTTGTTCCACTTGTATTACAGTTGCTGATGCAGCACCCTTTCTTTTGTGTGTGGTGTTCTTTTCTTCACATTAAAAGTTCCCTCAAGGTCACTACACAAATAGCTGTGTATTCCATTGCCTTATCCAACATCTTGTTTCATGCGTGCAATAAATTGCTCTCATTCTTCAGCAACTGATCATTCCGTATACAGTATAGGGGAGATGCTGCATTTAAGGCACATTTTAGCAAGTGACTCTGAGCCAGGTTGTGGCTGGCTATTAAATGGGGCAGCACATAAAACATCTGTGAATGACTTGTATTAGAGGCCAGATACTAGACTTGGTTGAAATATGGAAAAACATTCTCATGAAGAATTTCAAAGTTGTTTACCTCTTGTGGGATTTGATATGGATCAATTTCTAACCACACATCTGTGTAGAAATGAAATTAATTAATGTTTAAGTGATGCTTAGGAACTCTGTGCCAGAAGTGGTATACACACATAGATAAATACAGGCATAGACTGAAATCTGGAGTAACTCTGTTGAATTTCACTTTTCATCAAGTGACTTCAATAGATTTATTCCAGATTTGCATGTGTGTAACTCACATAATGTACGCTCCATTAGCTGGTTTCTATTTTTCCTAGTGTTGTGTATATAGTCAGAGAGCAATTTTGCACATTGCAAGACAGAGTGAAATCGTTAGAAAGTGAATGCAATGTGGGCTACTTGAACAGTTGGGCAGATTTTCATACTCTCATTGCAGCTGGTAAATGGAGGTGAAGATGTGTTGATATTTTACAATGATAGAGCATCATTTCCAGTTCTCCTGCAAATGATGTGCTCTGAGCGAGACCGAGCAGATGAGAGTGGACCCTTAGCCTACCACGTCACGCTTGTGGAACTGCTAGCAGCATGCACGGAAGGGAAGAATGTATACACGGAGATCAAGTGCAATTCACTCCTGCCACTGGATGACATTGTGAGAGTGGTAACCCATGATGACTGCATACCAGAGGTAAGCCAGTGCGGCAGCTGAAGCATTATTATAATTAGAAAAACAGTTACAAAGCTTCTAAAAGATCCATAGGTTGAATGCTGGTCAAGAAAGCAGTCTCACCACTCCACTTGGGCTGTTTATTAAGCTGCGCAAATGAGGGTATAAACCAGAACACTTTCCAGAAGTAAACTGTTACATGAAACAATCCGATGATGATGGCGTTCGCCATGCTAAAATATCACCACTGCATGAGTTGGTTGGGAGATATGAAGTGAAATCCTGTCCTTGTTGAAGTCAGTGGGAGTTTTTTGCTTCAGCAGGCCCAGGGTCTCACACATGGTGTTAGGGGCTTTTATTCACAGCAAATACAGGCTCAGTCCTGCAAACGCTGCCAACCCTAGTTCAGCGCCACTGGGAAGTATGCCCACTGACCAGAATGTGAATGCTTCTGATAGTAAGAACTCATGGTCTAATTCAGCTCTCAAGTTCAAAAGGAGCAGGCGCACTGGAACAATTTGTATAGTGAGGGTGCTGAGAACTATTGAACCAAACCGCAAACCCCATATTTCATGGAAATCACTTCAACCCGGGGTGTGGCAGTACCTCTAGTTCCAGCACTTCTGTTTATTAGACTTCTGCAGGAGCTGGCTCAGGCTCCACACTTCAGTCAATGAAGTCAGCAAGACTTGGCACAAAAGTTGGGCCATGAGTTATCAGTTACAGGACTGGGGATCTCTGCTCTTTTGACAGGACTAGGTAATTTGACAATAAAAAAGCACATTGTGCTTGGTGATCATCCTTATCACAATAACATTTTCTTGGTTGAAAATATGTACATTTATTTAAATTACTGCCATTAATTTAGGGCAGGGGTGGGAAAAGGTGTGTGTGGGGGGGGGGTTGTTTGTTTGTTTGTTTGTTTGTTTGTTTTTTGTTCAGGGGCTGCTGCCCTATAGAAAAATCAGTTGGGAGACACACACAAGGCCCCAAACTCCCTCACTGATGTAGCCACCCTCACTCCCCACATTCCCCTCATGCCCCAGAGCCTAACAGGGCCTGGGCTAGTACATTTTGTGCAGCCCCCGGGCTCTAGGATAGGGCCAAAATCAGGGATTCAGTGTTTGGGAGGGGCTGTCAGGAGGCAGGCTTGGGGTGTATGGTCTGGGCAGGAGGGAGGGTGCAGGAGGGCTGGACGGGAGGTAGGGTGTAGGAGTAGGGTGAGGGTTTAGGCAGCAGGGGTGGTTGCAGGAGTGTGGTAGAGGTATGTGTTCTGGGCAATGGCGGGGTACTTACCTCTGCAGCTCCCTGGGGACACACTTGGCTCTGTGCTGCCTGCCATTCCCACAGACCATCCCCCACTATTCCTGTTGGCCATGATTATGGCCCAGTGAAGCAGCAGGGAAAAGCCTCCAGGCAAGCACTCTCCTTCGCTGCTGTTTTCTCCAGCTGGGGAGAGGAGGAGTGGCAGCACCCAGATCCACTCCTTCTTCCCTCCCGCCGCCAGGCAGAGCCCATGGGCAGAATTTGGCCCGTGAAGCTTGGCGCTCTCCCCCACCCCCTAGTGGGGAGCCAGCACAGGTGCTCCAGCAGTAATACAGGGGGCACCGTGGTACTGGAGCACCAGCGTGGACTCCCTGATGCTGGGGGAGGGGGAGCTCTGAGCCTAGCAGGCCAGATCTAGGCAAACCGCAGGCCTACCCAGCCCGAGGGCCATAGGTTTCTCCTGGTTTAGGGAAAAACAGCTTTTCTCTGTACTATGTTAAATATATTGTCTGTTATCCCTACTTTGGACTGTCGAAAATAAGTCAAAAAATATATGTGTATTACATCCAAAGTATGTTAAAGGAACATTAAGATTGCAAAGTCAAGCATTCAAAAGTTAGAAAATGCCAGAATTTAGGTTGCCTGTTCAGTTTAATTTGGACCTCTTATGTGTTATTAATATAGTTTTCACATGATCACATACTATTTTTTCCCACAGGACTCTCTTTCAGGGAACAGGATGGACAGTGCTCATTTAACGAGCAGATCTTCCATACTTTGTTTTTCCTCATTGTTTAATGTGTAGCCCTTGGCCTTATTTTACTGCATTAACATTCTTTTAATCAAGGTTTTTAGTACATCATCTGTCTGTCTATCTATATATTCACTCCCTGAATATATGAAAGAACCATTTATCTGTCCTTATTCTTTTTAGTCTGGCTATTATCCTATTATCTTCAGTGTAGCTGGTCACCCTTTTTTTGTTTTTTTTTGGTCTGGTTCCCATGCCTCTGCTTCTCCTGCTTCTCACTTTGCTGATGTGTTCTTCATTGTTTCCTTTAATGACTCCTCGCCCTTCCCTCCTCTTCTCCTGATGATTCCTTATGGTTCTTTATTCCACCCATTTTGGTAACCCTGATGATGTACCCCTGACTTAGCCCTTTCTATGCATTCTTACATCTTGAGTAGCCTTTCGGTCTTTCACTGGGTCTAGAGGCCCTCCAGTTCCTCATGTGCCTGCAAATAACTCTCACATTTGCTGGATGTCCAGCTGCCATTTCAAATTCCTTCCGTTTGTTCCTAACATGTTTCTTCTCCTCCTCTTCTCAATTCTACTATCATTTTGTGTCTTGGGCCTGCAGCTTTTGTCTAATCTTTACTCTTCTCTGAATCCTCCCACTCCTGCTCCCAATTCAGTGTCTTTTGAGATTGTGTCATTTTTTCCCTTTTAACATCACTCAGATCTACCCTTTTACTCCTTGTTCCACCATTAGTCACTTTTCTTTATCACTGCAGTCTCCTGTTTGTGTATTCTGCACATCAACTGCCACGTTTTAGTCTGTCCAAAATGCTATTTTAGACATCATTTGCCCTTTATTCTTCTTCAGATCCTGCATTGGCTTCCTGTCTCTCTGCATCTCATTTATTTATCTGTTCCTCACCTGAAAGGCAGTATGTAATTTTGCCTCCACAGGTATTTCTGCTGTCCTTTCCACCTTCTTCCTTTTTTGCTTTCACTACTCTTCCAGTCTTCTCACCTTACTGCTCTTCATCTCTTCCTCTGCCAATCACCCTTTTTTCTTCAGCTTTCTCCCATGGGATATATGCAGTCCTTCCTGTCATCTCTTCATTAATAATCACCACATCCTACCTTATCTAAACTGTTGTCTGCTACCTTGGCCCATTTGCCCTGACCTAGTTACATGCTTTGTAAATAAATGGCAGTATATAAATACTTCATATATTTAGTTGAGTTGAAAGAAGAGCATATATCATGTATTGTTGTGAGCAAAGAATCCCTAAGCTGAATTTCAAACAGTTACCATGTTGCATGTGGATTGTGAGCCTTAGAGAAGAATACAGAATCAGAAAAAGTTTAGAAGAGAAAGCGGAGAAGGGGGCATGGCTGTAGGCAAATAGCAGATTGAACTTTCTGTGTGAATGGTGTTCCAGTGTCTCTTCTGTATGTTCAAAAAGAGTCTACGGCTCTAGAGTCTTTTGAATTTAATCTGCCTAAATTTTGAATCCTTATGTGGTGTTTACAAGATGAGCTTGTAGAGACACTTATTATTAAGGCTGCCTAATGCTTTTTCCATAAGAATCAAAATTTTCCATCTTTGCCCTTTAATTCAGGCTGCACCTATTTAGGTGAAGTTTCAGCAAAAGTAGTTCAAATGCCTAAGATAAGCTGGGTTGTTTTGCCTGTTTTTTGAAGTGATTTGGTGCCTGTGGGGTTTGAAGCAGGAGCTTGAATTTAACAAGCAATCATCCTGTGGTCAGAAATGTGCCTTTTGCTGTTGCCATGAGAATACACCCAGATCTGGCAGCCAGAAACCTGTGAAAAATCACCATTTGCTAAAGTTCAGTAGAGATTTTAGTGGTAAATCTAATTTTCTGTCAGCACTGAGAATGCTCCATCTCTACAAATCTCCCTAACATATCAGGTGCCTGAGCATGTTCCAGTTGGCAGGATTATGCAGCAAGAGCAGCTGCAGCTGCCACCCTCTCTTTTGGCTTAGGTGGGTTGCGCTATGGACCAGGAGAAGATCGAGAGTTCTGGTCTTCTCTCCTCTCCTGACTGGTATAAATAATGATTATGTATTTTACAACTCCTTATGAGTCATGCTTCATAAGGCTTTGCGTGCAGGCATGCATCGTATGAGCTAACTGTGATATTGTACAAGGACACTTCTAGCAGAACTGGTTGTAGAACCAGGGGCTGTATTCTGTACTAGGGATTTATTAGTATAGTTGATTAACCGATAAGCAAGAGTTTATAGGTTAATACTACACACATTTCCCAACTCTCCCCACACCTTCACCCTTGGCCAATACATTTTTTAGCAGGCTGGCTCAGTCCTTGCTTGTGCTAGGTCCAGGATCTACTCCTGCTGTGGCTCTATGCATTTAAAGTATATTGGGAGCCAGGCGGGCAGGCAGCTCGGCTCAGTTCTAGCTTGCCCTGGGTCTGGGAGCTCAGACTCTCACCCTAGACTGGGGCTGCTGCCACCCCACGCTGCTGACTATGTATCAGAGGCAGTAGCGAGCTGTGACAGGCAGCCAGTCCCGGAGGAGCGCTGGTTTTTAAACTGGCTTCCCTCTTGAACCAGCTCCTGCCTGGCACCTCATGTTGCCATTCTCTTCTGTCTTGTTGGTGGACTCTTTTAGGGAACAACTCTGCCCTGTGTTTTAAGGCACTAATTAGGACGCAGGAAATTCCTAGCCCTGCAGAAGACTTCATATGTGACATTAGGCAAATGTCATAATTCATGTGCACAAGGAAATCAAATTATAGTTATGCATTAAAACATTTAATACGCTGATGGATTTCACTGTCATTTTCACAAGGTTTTTTATGTTTGCTTTTGCTCCTCCAGGTGAAGATTGCATATGTGAACTTTGTTAATCACTGTTATGTGGACACTGAGGTGGAAATGAAGGAAATCTATGCTAGTAACCACATTTGGAAATTATTTGAGAACTTCCTTGTTGATATGGCAAGGGTAAGCTTTATGATGTGCATGCTGTAATATGTAAGGCATTTTAAGGTAGCTGACCAGGCAACAACTTTTCTGCTTGAACCTCATATGTTCTCTTAACAGTATTTTCAATCCTTGAGACTGTGAAATGAATGAAATCTTTTTTTAATGGTGTGTCATTTCAGTTACAATTTTCTTATTATTTAACCTGTTTTATCTCAAGCACTGTCATCCTTAACAAGGCACACCAGAACCGTGGAGATTAGCTTAAAAATAAAAAGAAAGGTATATGGATTTGGGTGAGTTGTGGGTATGAGAAACTCCATGTATTTCAGCAAGTTATGCTTCATAGTTACTGTGAGTCTAGAAGGTAATCTAGATTTAGCCCAGGAAACTCATTTAGGTTCCAAATCTAGAGTTTCTGAGTGCCTGGAGTACTAACTGATAGTGTCACATAGCTAGATCCCATAGACCAGTGTTTTTCAAATTCTTTTTTTCTCGACCCTGTCGAAGAAAAATGTTGATGCCCATGACCCAATGTAATTACAGCTTTTGACTAGAGTGTGGGTTTTGGGGTGGAGCCAGGAATGAGGGGTTTGGGATGTAGGAGGGGGCTCAGGGCTAGGGCAGGGGCAGGAGATTGGGGCGCCAGGTGGAGCACAGGCTTACCCCCAGTGACTTTCAGTTAGCGAAGCAGCGGGGATTCTAAGGCTGGGACCTGGTATTCCAGTGCCCCGGAAGCAGCCAGTAGCAGGTCTGAGTCCTAGGCAGCTCTCACATGCGGGCACCATCCTCCCCAGCTCTCTTTATCCAGGAACCGGCCAATGGGAATGTAGAGCTGGTGCTCTGGGGGAGGCAGTATGTGGAGTTCTGTCCCCTCCTCCCCCTGCTGCCTGGGAGCTGAACCTGCTGCTGGCGACTTCTGGGGTGCAGTGGCAGGACAAGCAGGAAGCCTGCCTTAGCAGCTCCCACTAGTCACCTGGTCACCCTACAGCAAAGCGACTCAGTGTCTGGCATTTTACAACCCGGTACTGGGTGGTGACCTGTAGCTTGAAAACCGCTGCCATAGACTCTTTTCTGCAGTAATAGCTAGCACTATATAAATGCCTCTGTATAAATCCCTGATTTGCCCACATCTTGAATACTGCATACAGATGTGGTTGTTTCATCTAAAAAAAGAGAGATTTCATTGACAAAGGTTCAGAAAAGGGCAAGAAAAATGATGAGGGGTTTGGAACGGGTCCCATATGAAGAGAGATTAAAAAAATGGGTACTTCTCAGCTTAGAAAAGAGGAGACTAACGGGGACTATGATAGAGGATTATAAAATCATGACAAGTATGGAGAAAGTAAATAAGGAAATGCTATTTACTTCTTGCCATAATATAAGATCTAGGGGTCACCAACTGAAATTAATAGGCAACAGGTTTAAAACAAAAGGAAGTGTCTCTTCATGCAGCACAGTCAACCTGTGGAACTCCTTGCCAGAAGATGTTGTGAAGACCACAACTTTAACAGGACTCAAAAAAGAACTAGATAAGTTCATGGAGGATAGGTCCATCAATGGCTATTATCAAGGAAGGATAGGAATAGTGTCCCTAGCCACTGTTTCTCAGAGGCTGGAAAAGGATGACAGAAGAAGGGATGATTACCTGTTATGTTCACTCCTTCTGGGGCATCTGGCGCTGGCCACTGTTAGAAGACAGGATACTGGGCTAGATGGACCTTTGGTCTGACCCAGTATGGTCGTTCTTATGTATGGTGGTGCCATTTTAAGCTCTCCTGTGTAGCTGCTCTGTTCCAGTGGAGAGAGCTCTCCTGTTGGCATAGTTAAACTACCCCCAGAGAAAGATGATCTCTATGTACCACTGGCATAATGCTGTTTGCATTGGATCACTTAGGGGGTGGTTTTTTCACACCCCTGTCTGACAGACATCTTACTAACAAAAGTGCTAGTGTGCGTAGCCATGGTGTCACTGTAGCTGATGTTTAAGTACATTAAAAACTGTCATAACTGATGGTTGCTGCTCACAAGAGGCCTAGGAGGTAGAGTAATGGGTGTTAATGCAAGTTTTGGAAGATTAAGATGCATTAGTAGAGACATGGAGAAGCTTGTGGATCCCAGTGGTTCAGTGTAGGGATGTGAAGGACTAGTTGATTCTCTGATAAGCAAATGCTTATCTGATAGTTGACAGGATAGTCGACTAGTCGCTTCCCCCTCCCCTTGCTGCATTGCTGCCTTTGCCTCACCCTCCCCCCTTGCTGCCGCCATGGCGTTTCAAAGCAGCAGCGCTGCACGGAGCCTGGCGTCAGGTGCGGGGGCCTCTTCACCTCTCTGTGAAGCAGAAAATGAGACTTTATTTATTTATTTGTTCATTTTATTTATTTATTTTATTTTTAGCCAAGTGTTTCAGAGACTAGGATAAGCAACAGTGCCTGTAAACTTGTGTCTCTTGGAGAAGGCCATCAGTAATGAGACCTCTGCAAGCCCTGCATGGCTGCCGGCTGCCTTGTTTCTGTAGCTGTTCTTATAGGGAGTCAGCTTCTGGGCAACCTGGGCTCAGCTGAGAGTGAAGCTCAGAAGGGATTGTAGGCTTCAACCTCTCTTACTTAGTCAGCAGCATTTTCTTTTCATTCCCTCTCCAAGGAAAGGTTGCTCTTACCTGCCGTGGCACAGTTCTCACCCTTCAGCAGCAGCATCTACAAACCGTTCTTTGCTTTAGCTCTGTAATAGGACCCTTCCTATAGAGGCAGACTTATATAGGGAGGCCCTTACCCCATGCAGCTCTGCTACTCCAATCCAGAGACTTCCGTTTCCAAGACCACCAATCGCATTACAGTATGCCAAATGATGTAGAGATATCTACATCAGATAGGGGTGTGATGGACCACCACACCCATTTGCACTTTGCTCTCGAAGAGCAATTAAACTCCCAAGATTTCAGAAAGGAGTAGCAAGTGAGGCTGGCTTACCAGTAATTCCTAAATTCTTTCTCTGTATGTGCATGTGCACGTCCTCTTTTTTTTTTTTCCTGAAAAAGAAGAGCAAAAGTGCACTTTTGTGTTGATGTCTTGCAAAGCCCTGTGGGTAGCTGTCTAATTATTTCCTTTCGTGTCCTGGTTAGTAGCTCTTTTTCTTTCCCCCCTCAGCTAAAAGAGCATGTGAAAAATTCTCTCTCCTGTTCCATGCTTCAGCCAGGCCCTCTGGGTAATCTGTTAGATTGTTGAGTGTATTTGCTCAGGACTGCTTTCTGGGGCTGAGGCAATGTTCACATGTTGCAAATACATCAGTTTTACGTAGCCATCAGGACTGTTAGAAGGCCCTTAGCATCCTGAAGGGATATTATGGAGTGCTCAAAATATTTAGAAAGAAGAATCCTTTGATCCTCTATGTTTTGGTGAGCTAAAAGACTTGCTATTGAGGGGCAGGGAAGGAATGCTTTTCTTTTAGCCACTACAACTACCTGTCAGTGGTGAGTCTGGGAACTTTAAGTCTGTGTTATTGCAGAGTGCTATGGGGGAGAATGGCTATCCTCATGATGGATGTCTTACTTTTTCCACTGTAGATGTTGAGCATTTTTGTTACTAGAGTCAAGATCCAAGAAAGAGTGGAAGAGAATAAGTAGTGGGGGAGAATCATTGGGCTGCCATTCTGTTATGGGATCTGTGTTGAAAGCCACTGAAAGGGCTTTCCAGCAATGGGTTTTAGACAAATGAGGGTGAAGTCTTAAAAGCATTTTGCAATTTAGTTTGGGCAATTGGTAAATTTGCCAGGCCAGCACCAGGCAGATCCCAGCATTCCTGTTGGGAATCTGAACGCTGAGCCTCAGAACTGCTGGTTCCAGCAGAAATTGGTTCCAGCAGAAATTGGCCTTAATTAAAGGCAGGAAAATATCCAGAAGGATTTTAGTTTGTAGTCTTTTTGAGAAATGTTGAACCTTGGTTTACCTCTACTAGAGCTGTGGAAAAAAAATGCCACGGCTCTATTGATATTAGTGAGTTTTATTATCTTAGTCTTATGGAGTAGCTACTGTTGCTTTTCTGTCCTATGTAACCCATCCTATTACTGTGGGGAAAAACACTACATGCAGCCCATGCCTTGCCGATTTCGTTGTACACTAAAGTCCATCAAGCCTACCTTCCTCGCTGAAAAAGCGGCAAGGAGTCCTGTGGCACCTTATAGACTAACTGCAGTGTAGGAGCATAAGCTTTCGTGGGCAAAGACCCACTTCGTCAGATGCATCTGATGAAGTGGGTCTTTGCCCACGGTGGGGAAAAACACTACATGCAGCCCATGCCTTGCCGATTTCGTTGTACACTAAAGTCCATCAAGCCTACCTTCCTCGCTGAAAAAGCGGCAAGGAGTCCTGTGGCACCTTATAGACTAACTGCAGTGTAGGAGCATAAGCTTTCGTGGGCAAAGACCCACTTCGTCAGATGCATCTGATGAAGTGGGTCTTTGCCCACGAAAGCTTATGCTCCTACGCTGCAGTTAGTCTATAAGGTGCCACAGGACTCCTTGCCGCTTTTGCAGATTCAGACTAACACGGCTACCCCTCTGATACTTCCTCTCTGAAGACTCCCCTAATGGCAATAATGTGCCTTGTATTGCCCACTCATATGGCGTATGCATTTACTAATAATCAGTTTCTTTAAATAGTGTGCCTCTGCGTGCTCCAACTGTATGTGTGCATGCCATCCTGTGCTGCCGATCGGAGAACTTTGGGACCCATGTGGCCTGTTCAGCCTGCACATGTATTGTCCTCCTTTTTTATAGTGTTCTTTCCTGACAAGGTTATGCTAAGACCACACCAAAATACATCCAGAGGGTACCTTCAGCCTTTCATGTGAATCAGCTCATTCACCTAGGAAGCCGTTCATCACCCAACAGATGTAAGGAGATCCCTGGCCTTCTACTTGGACAGGACAAAGACTTTTAGGAAATCTCCTAGACTACTGTTTCTCATATGGGCCCATGGACCCCAGATGGCTGCAAGGGTACTCCAGGGGGTCCACTGGTCCTACTGATCAGCCCCTCTCCCTGTCTTCCTCAATTCCTCCCCCTTCCTCCCAATGCCTCTTGCATGCTGGGGAACAATTGTTCTGTGGCACGCCGAAGGCACTGGAAGGAAGAGGAAGGACTGGAATGGTAAACATTTGGGGGAGAGGTGGGGTGTGACCGTGAGGGTAGGGGGTGCAGTGGAGGGGGCATTTGACTAAGGAGAGGATGTGGAGGTCTATGAAAAATCTTGAATCAAAATGGGGACCATGGGATTGCTGAAGTTTTGAGAACCACTGTCTGAGGCTTTTCCTCTCCATTGCAGTTAGGTCTAAAGGTGCAGTGACATCAGCCCAGAGACACTCTACACGTGTCTCAAGCTGCATCAAGCGCTGTGGTCAGGCTCTCCAATTGGTACCTCCACACACAATTCATTATTCCTACACACACTGCATGATTGGTTTCCTCTTGGGTTGCAGTCTTCACTGATGTCCCCATCCAGGAACTTTTCAGAGCGGCTACTTGGGCATCTGCAAACACCTTTACAGGAAACTCTGCCATCATGGTGCTGATGCTAGATTTGACGCTGCAGTATTGTCCATACTAGACTCCACACCAAAGCCCCAGTCTCCCATTGGGAATAGAGCTTGGGAGTCAATAGCAGTGGCTCACCCACAGGCTGCTATTTGAAGAAGAATAATAATCAGTGCCTCATCTTGGGCACTAACGATGTTTCTTCAAGATGTGTCCCTCTGTGGGTGTTCCAGGACTCACCCTCCTCCCTTCTACTTCAGGGTTGTTATCGTGGACTCTGCAGTAGAAAAGGAACTGAGGAGTGTTCACCTGCACAGCACTAGCTAGTCTTGTGTGAGAGCCTGTGGAAGGAACAGCGAATGTGCAGGCCAAACAGATGCTGTGACCAAAGGTCTCTGATCAGTAGTGCAGGGATACAAGGACATTACATTAGAGTAAGCATAGGGGGACACATCTTGAAGAACCATTGATATTGCACAAGGTGAGTAGTTCCAATCCCCAGTAATAACTGGTGGTATCTGAAGTCTCTGTAAACTTCTGGCTGTATTGCCAAAGTCTCTGGCTTACAAGGTTCAAGTGTTACTTCAGTACAGTATAATCGGCAGGATAGATGGCCTGACCTGGGACATGGATCTTTATGCTCTTTCTAGCCCTGCTAATGAGGTTTTTCTCTGTGAGCCTTTTACTTACTCTTTCTGTACTTCAGTTCTGTGCTTCAGTTCTTTACCTATCAAGAGTTCTTCCCTCCTACCCACCAAAAAATCCTATTTTTAACATAATAAATGTATGCAGCATGAAATGATGAATGTTATCCTAGAATGTTGTTGTCTTCGAGGATGCTGTTCAGAAGTTGAATAGTTCCACGCTTTCTCACAGCCTAAGAAGTAC